TTTCGGAATATGGAAGTTATTATAAAGGCTATTCAATTCCTATATCCAATAAAGTGAACAAGAATCTACTAGATAAGTTTAATAATGTGTACGTAGCTCATATAATATATGCAATTTAAGATGAATTGAAAACTTGATTAATATAGATAATTTATTAATACTGTATCATAATTATCAACAGGATAATACGGACTCGTGAATACGGTTTATACAGCAAATGGTTGGCACATGCTTTGGAAAATAATAATTTTTATATAAAAATGTTCAGGGAACAAATTCGTAAACCCTTATGTACTTATGATATTATATCATTATCAATAATATACGAAATATTTTATATTTATTTTTATTTTAGCACTATTTGTATTATTGCTCTAATTCTTGAATTATTGTACCATGTTTCTAGCATAGTACTTTTACTAATGATCATAATGAATATTTGAAAATTATATTAAAATTGCTAAATAATTAGTCTACAAATATTTGTTACATTAATTGTTTTGTTTAATTACTATACATATTAAAAGTTCTTAAAACTTATTAATGTAAATAAAATATAGATCTACTGTATATTAATGTACTAATTATTATATCAAATAATATAAAAATATTAATTTAATTAAAATATAGACTTATTTAAATGCAAAACCTTATTGAAAATGTAAACATCAAAACATTTAACATCATTAGTATTGATCCAAAACTGGATAATAGATCAAACAAAATAAAATTACTTATTTTGATTAATTTTATTTATACTTCCCATAATGTACATGCCACCTATTGCGAGTCTGTGTGACTACATGAAATATCTCACCTAGTAAGTAACTATAAGAAAGGTATTTATTAAATCTTAGTATAATTTAAAATTTGATTTTGACATTACCTTACAACTTTATTAGATGAAACACGTATGAGACACCTACCATCATCGTAAATTACTAACATTTTTACAACATTTGTGGGTCATGTTTACCACTCACGATAACAATAAAATCCTTGTACAAATCAAGAAACAGCAAGTTAAAAATATTAGTTTGTTTATGCCGCAAATTATAAAAGCTCAAGAGTACCCTGGTAACTATAACTCAAAGTAGACCAGACACTAATAATATACTACTAATCCTTAGAAACCGTGATTTTCTGAGAGAGAGAGAGAGAGAGAGAGAGAGAGAGAGAGAGTGGGAACGGGTACGTGATTGGGAAAGGACTACCAAGACGTCCAAAGATTGGATTAGTTAACTGGATGGTGGGGATGATATGGTCAAGAAAAAAAGACAATTGAGATAGAGGAAATGGACAGGGATAGGTTCTGGAACAGGAATATAAAGTGGAACAGGGTTATGAACATGGATATAGACAGGAGTTGGGATAGGGATAGAAAATGGGATCGAGATCTCATGTGAGTGGGTATCGGAGCCGGTATTAAAATGATTGTGGTTTACTATAGAAGATAAATTAAAAATTTTATGCATAATTCAATGTACAATTTTAAGTTTGAATTTTATTTAATTAAATAGAAATTATAGAATTGTGTAATAATGTATAAATTAAGCAAAAACTATTAACTTAATTTGCTATTAATGTATAACATACTGTATAAGTTATATTATATTGATTTTCAATTTAAAAATATATGAATGAAAAGGTATACAAAACATTTTTCATAATTGCATTATTTTGTAATTAAATTTGTATTTCGTAATTATTTTTGGTACATATCATTATGGTACATTAGGTACATATTTATATCACAAAATAATTATTTTATTTTGATAAACGTACTCAAATTAATTGAAATATAAAATATTAATACTATTTAAATATGATGTAATTAGGTAAACTTATTTTTGCTTTATATATACTACAAATAAAATTAATATTAATTATTTAATTATTATTTATAGACTTGTAAAATTCCATATAAATAAAGTAATTATCTTTGTAATGGAACTAGGGCAGTGTGTTAAATTATAATATAGTATTTTGAACGTTAGTATAAAATTAATATTATTAAAATTTTATTTATTTCACAACAATTTACATCGTAGTGATAAAAATTAAAAGTATAGTACTTGCTAAATACTAGCACTATAATATATTACTTTTAATGTTTATTACATTGATACCATAAGTATATGAAAAGCATATCAATAAATTATATTATTATTTATATTATGGTATTCAATATGAACATTGTCATGTACCAATTATTTTACTAATTATCATTTTATATTTATATTGAAGAGTATACTTGCTACACTATAATCAAATGGCAATCAAAAATTGTGTTCAACTTAGAGATGATAATCTATTGCTTAAATTAGGGTCAAATGTGAACAATGAGACCCTGATAATCCAAGTAATTGATTCGACACCTTTTATAATTATTTCAACCACTATCATCAGTACGGGGAAATATATATTTAATATTTGCGGTCCCTTATTAATGTTGTTATTAGAGTTTGCTACTAGGCAAAATAAGTGGTAAGTGCACAGTTTGTACAAAATTTGTACTATTAAATAGTCAGATATCAATTAATTGAAGTATATAATTAATTAATTAATAATTTACTTTGTTACCAGGCTACAATTTCGTACGCCAGCAGCTAATGCTTTTACAATTTCTGAAGAGTTATCAGTAAATCCCCCTGATATTTTATTAGGTGCCATTGATTCAACAAGTTTTGATGTGTACATTAAACCTATGGCCATGTTGGGACCAGGGTATAAAAAGACTACTTTAATTGATTATGATGAAATGAGTCACATAGCTTACCTCAAATACCCTGGTAATCGTGACATGTTTAAATACTTTAAATTTGTTGATAAATACGTTAGTATGGTAATTATATCATTTATAATTACTACCTCGTTACTATTAACAAAGTTAAATAAAAATGAACTTATATTTTCATCAACCTACTTTAACTATATTTTTAACTTGACAACGATGATTTTTACGCCGTATATATCTAAATGTATTAAATGCACTAAGAGAATGCCATGCAAATTAATAATAAGTGCATGGCTATTATTTTCATTTATATACAACAAGCAATTGTGTAACATGATATTAGAGGGAATGGTGACAAATGTACCTGATCATGTAATAGATACATGGGAAGACCTATATGAACACCGGGATGTACCTATTGTTGTTCAAGATTCAGATGGACTGTATCAATTTGCACAAGATAACAAAACAGAAATGGCTATAAATTTTAATCAAAGAATTATCGACTTTGATTTTACTGACAAGAGCAATCCAGAATTTTTAAAAAATTTATCAACCAACTTAATGGAGGGCCGAGTAGCCTACATAAGCAACCACATTTCTTTAAAGTATCATGTTAAAAAATACGCACAGATGTATAACAGTGAGCGAGCTCAAAAATTAACTGATAGCATTCATATCTCAAAGTATGGTAGTTATACTAATGGTTGTTTTATGATTGTGTCAAATTTGCTCGATAATGGTGTGCTAGTATATTTTAATAAAATGTAAGTTTAATAGTTTAAATAACTTTATTTAATATCTGAGAATTGAATATAATTATATTTTAACTTAGCATTATAAAATCACGTGAATCTGGAATTTATGGTAAATGGAGGTCTGCCATATTGTCGCATAATGAGCAGGAGCAGCTAATACTTTACAACTATAACCAAATTAGCCTTAATCAAATAATTGATGTATATTATTTGCTCTTGATAGTTGAATTTGTTTTATGTTTAGCATTATTTTGTGAAGTAGTTGTTAATATATTTCAAAGATTTAAACACAGGGACATACAATAATTTTAACTTACAAGTTAGTTGGTTTGTTGGTTATATATTAAATCATTATTAAATATTTAATTTTTATTAATTTTTAAAAAGTTGTTTAAATATATTATACCTAAATCAATTAATAATTTACTAATTATAATTTAAATTACATATAAATGTAAACACCAAAACATTTAACAACATCAGCATTGATCCAATAAACTGAATAATAGATCAAACAAATGAAAATACTTATTTATATTTACCATAATGTACCCACCACCTTTTGTCAGTCTTATTTGGCTACATGAAATGTCTGACCTAGTTAGTATCAATGAAAAATTAATTAATTAATTAAATATTAGTATAATTAAAAGTTTTATTTTGACAATATCTTACTTGTAACCCAAACTAAACTCCTAACATAACCGGCATTTCTACAGCACCTGTGGGACATGTATACAATTCCCGGTATCAGCAAGCTAATAATATTAGCTTATTTGTGCCCCAAACTATGAAAGAGGCTAATATTGAACTCAAATGTACCAAGGCAATTATAACTCAAAGTAGCCCAGACACTAATAATTTGCTACTAATCCGTAGAAAACGTGATTTTTTTATTTATTGAGAGAGGGATAGGGATATGAATAGAAAGTGGGATCGGGATAGTCATTGGGATAAAACTACCAAGATAAGATTAATAACTGGTGGACGGGGATGTTTGGGACAAGAATAGGTATAGAGACAGGGACAGATGGGATAAGGGTAGAAAATGAGATGGCCATCGAGATAGGTACTTGGACAATGGGTAATTGGGACAGGGATAGGGATAAAAATTTTTATAAAGATCGGGATGGGATCTGTATTAAAATAATTATGTTAAATTAATTAAAATTTAAATGTACAATTTTAATTGTGAATTTTATTTAATTAAATAACAATTATATAATTATGCAGTATTTATGTACAAAATAAAATTAATTAATTTCTGATCAGCCTGGGAGCCCCCCCGTTTACTATTGTATTGGAAGGAAGTATGCTTTGGGGCTGAATGAAAATTTTGGATAAAAGCTAATAGTGTGCAGTAGTAGATATACCGCCTTTTTAGGGGCCACTTAAACCGTATCAAAAATATTTAAAATTTTTATTTTGCCACATTATATTATATAAATATAAACTAAATAACTTGATTATTATATTATAAGTAATGATAGAGTAGTAATATTATTCCATTAGATCCGGTCTAGGTTCTGCATCTAATCGAGGTATTTTTGCTGGTTCTAAATTGAAAATATATATTAATGTATTTTCTAAGGGTTATTTGAAAAAATACTCTGTGTATCAACAATTTCGTTCTCTTTGACCCATTCAGCAGCAATATTGTTAGCATCAAGTTGAATGGCATATTTCGGACCAATTTGACGAATACGAAGTTGCCCATCAAGTACATCAGGGCCCAGTTGACTCCGGTATTTATCTTTGATAAATGCCATAACGCTGAAACTAAAAATATACAATTAAAATATAACTAAAATTTGTTATTTACAAACCCAGTCTCGCACTGGCTACTTGACAACGGCAATGTAATTAAGGTCATGATTAGTTGTTTAGATACATTATAACAAGTGACATCAACATGATATAAAAAATAATTCCAAAATTCCAAAAAAGTTTTCTTCATTTTTTCAAACTGGAGTTTCAGAAATTTTAGTAATTATGCCAATAATAATAGTAATGGAATTATCGTCAAATTCAATATCAAATAAAGTATATAATTCTGTGATATGTTCACTTTGTTCAATTGAGAGATCTGCAACACAATTAGGATCAAACAAATTGAAAAGTTTTAATTTATCTTTGGGTATAATAGCATTTATTTCTTTTATAATTGATTCAATTAATTCTTTTCTGAATGATGATACTTTTGGAAATTTCTCTATCTTTCTCTTCAAACACAATATTAAATTTGTCATGAGCTGTTACATACTTTTCATAAACTTCCATACTCCACGCCATATTTTCATCCATGCCATCTTCACGTTCAAGAAAGAGTAAATTATAAAAATTTTCAAATGGTTTCCATCCTGTGTTATCAATTTAGTTAACTCGGCCACTAAATCATCTAAAATTTTAAGAATATCAGAAAAAACAGCTTTGCTATCCTGAAATTGTTTTGATGCTTTGGCTAAAATTTCCAATATATTATATACGAAATAGCAAGAGTACATAAAATTTTTGTCAAACAAAATGGAATAAAACTTGCTAGCTTCATCTCTAACTTCTTGGGTAAACATTTTGTCATCATGAATACTACGTATATCTTGATAGACAGCATCAAATGATAATAGAAACTTTCAACATATCCCTTGAACTAGCAATAAATCGTATTTTATGCATGTTTTAAATTTATACAGCTTTAAATGCAATTGTTCGGTGATTTCCTCTAAACGAGGGTCTTTTTGGGGGTTAGGTCTTTTAGGTTTTAGGTCTTTTCGGGTTTAGGTCTTTTAGGGTAGAACCGAGCTAATCGTTTGGTACTGTGACCAAAATAGAAATTACCAAGATCATTTAGAAAGGTTTCAATACTTTGGACTGATGTAAACTTCTTATAAGATTTATTTAAAGCCAATTGTAGTTGATGGAAAAGCAATGAGTTTTAAAAAGTTTCTTATTTGCATTTGATTTCCAGTTATCAAGTTTTACGCTTACAGATTCTTTGTCGCCTTGAAATACATTGGCTCCGTCTGAAACAAAGCTAACTAAATTAGCTTAAATATTATCTTCTATCCCATCATCTTTAAAGTTTTCAATTAAAATATCAAATAAATCTTTAGCTTTCTGGTTTGAACTTATTCTCATGTTTATAAAAAATAAATTTCTGTTCAAAATTACGCATCATTGAGAAATAGCAAATTAAATAATCACGGTTTGATTCAGATGCTGTATCTACGATTATGCTAATCGGATAATTTAAAGTATTTATGTCTTCAATTAGTTGTTTTAAAAAAAATTTGCTTATAACTTTCATCATTTTCGTTGCACTATTTTTGTTAATAAACTTTGAATATAATTTAGCACCGTTAGAATACTGTAGCCAGTATAAATCAACTATTTTATCAAAGCTGCTATGCATTTGAACTAACGTATAAACGCTACGCACATATCTAGCAGTAGTTTCCAACAAACCATCACTTGTAACATCTTGTCCTGCGGCGAACTTTTCAACCGATTCTACAACTTTTTTATGAATTGGATTTTTTGAATGTCTAGTTAATGCTTCGCGGTTTGCATTTTTATTAGCTTTAATATCGCCATGCTCTGTAATAATTGCTAAATCTCTTACTTTAAAGTTTTGTCGTAGTTTACAACCATATCTGTAGCAAATGGCACAACGGTACCTTGATGCTGAGGGGTTTTCTGGATTGTCCATATTTTCAAACCATGGTTTTATGTGTGGCTTTGTAACGGTGTAAATTGACATTGAATTCTGGTTTAATAATTCTTTGAACCAAACCTCTTTGAACATATTGTACCCCTCGACTTTCTCGATCTCACTTATTACTCTTTCAATTGTAGTTGTCAATACTTGATGATCGTTTGGTCTATACATAAAATATAAATATTTTATTAATATTAACTAAATTAAATAACTATTTTGTAATTTACATACCCCTCTGTTTCTGATTCCGGCGTTTCGCCATATTCTGGTTCCAGTGTATCGTAATTAATTTCGTGTATCATAAAAGTAACCACGTTTTGGGTACAGTTTACAAATTAATTAAAACGTTTGGATTGATCATTTAAACTCATCAGATATTCAAATAAATTGTTGTTTAAATTTATTATATCAAATGAATTAGAAGTTCTTTTGTGGCGATTAACTTTAGGACAAGTTCCATTTAAAGAAGTTGTCTGATTAATATAATTTATTAAATTATTGTTAAGAACAGTCAGGTTAGTAGCAAAATCTTTAATTAATAATGAACAATTTTGATAATTTAATATAGTTGTCTGTTCTGCATTAATGCAGAATAGAACTTGAAAAATCAAAATTATTGTCATATTGATTTTCTTATACAATAACTCTAAAAGGTCTTATTTATATATCATTTCTGTATTGGTATACATGATTGAACTTTATTTATTATCATTACATTCTTTTTAATAATAATTAATATACTGAATTGACGTAAATTAAATAAATTCTAATTAATACTTAAAAGATTAAAGATAGGTTCAATAATAAAATATGATAATAAAAGTTCAATCATGTAGCCCACAATAGACATTATATAGAGTATAATGAAATAATAGATATATTAAATATTAATAATTTCTATTGTGGTCTACATGATTGAACTTTATTTATTATCATTACATTCTTTACGTAATATTTTATTTAATTTGCGTCAATTCAATATATTAATTACTGATAATAAACTTATTTTTGACATTTAAAACTATGATAAAAATTGTTTAAATATATATAAAATTTCTGTTTTGTCTATATGATTGAACTTTAATTATTATCATATTGTAATATTACTTTTTATCTTTAACCTTTAAAGGATTAATAAAAAATATTTAATTTACCTCAATTCAATATATTATGATTAAAATTTTTCAAACCCTTAACTTAATCTAATCAATTTTTAATATAAATTCTTGATAATAAAGCTTTACTAATTATATTGCATTTTTATTATAAAAAAAATTTCAAAAGTTGGGGCATTTATTTTACCTTTATTTGAAATTTGATCCCAAATGGGGTGTATACTACTAAATTCGTGTGTCCAAAAAGGTCATTAAACTGTATAGTTGGCTTTTTTGCAATTATTTGTAAACGGGTGGGCTACCTTCCTGTTTCTGATATGCATTTATTAATAAACAAATTAGTTTATATTGATTTTCCATTCAAAAATATGTGAATAAAAAAAGTATATAAAACAATTTTCTTAATTGCATTAATACCAAAAATTCCCAGTTCATTGTACGTCACAAAAGGTTCTGGCAAAAATTTTATAACCATTAGTGTTATATTATATAACTTATATATTATAAATATAAACAAATTAGTTTTATGTCGTTATTATATTTCAAATGATATAAAATAATAAGATTTCTTAAAAACAAAAGTGAATAAATAAATTTATTATGGCAAATTAATTTAGGTGTGACTTTTATAAATATAATATAAAAATAGCAAATAATATATTAAATATTTAACTTATTATGAAATAATATGAATCATTTGGTTCAAAAAGGAAAGTATTTCAAAGATACTATTAATTAAAAATCTAGTAGCCTATTAAAAATAACATACTCCCGATTAAATACTTTGACCTTATATTAATCTGGCTTATATAAACACTTTTTAGATACTAGGTAAAATGATTTTTTCATATTCTTATTTATATGACACAGTCAAGTATTTATATTTTTGAAAACGACGTTATGGAATTGCATTATACATATTAAAATAATTTATTTAATTAAATATTTTTTAATTACTAGTTGTTTACAAGATTTGTTATTAACTTTGGGTGTAACATTCAAATCACATTTGCACTGAATATCAGTACATTTGCATTGAATACCGAAATATATGTATGACTTAAGTCACGTGTTTTACCTTTCTATACAAATAATAAACTGATTTATACAATAATAGATTCTGATCCGAGTAACCAATATGTGAATTAAGTCCAAACGCCCTGTAATACAGTCTGTATTTGTATTTGAGTTAAAACATTTCTCAACTTACTAACTCATAAAAAATATCAGCTTTTATATTATTTATTATTGTAGGTTAAATAATGCTATTTAATAACTAAACATCATATTTAATATTTATTAGTGCATTTGAGTTGCATCTAGATTTATTATTTAAAATTTTCTTGTGGCTAAATGTTTAATTTATTTAATTTATAATTATATTTATATTGTAGAGTATACTCGCTATACTGTCTATTATTATAAACAAGTAGCCAACACAATAATCAAATGGCAATCAAAAATTGTGTTCAATTAAGAGATGATGATTTATTGCTTAAATTAGGGTCAAATGTGAACAATGAGACCCTGATAATCCAGGTCATTGATTCGACACCTTTTATAATTATTTCAACCACGATCACCAGTACGGGGAAATATATATTTAATATTTGCGGTCCCTTATTAATGTTATTATTAAAATTTGCTACTAGGCAAAATAAATGGTACGTGCAGTTTTTTTTAAATAATCATATACAAATTAAATTTATATTATATCTTAATTTTTAATGTTTCAAATTAATTGAAGTAAATAATAAATTAGTTAATATTTTACTTTGTTACAAGGCTACAATTTCGTACGCCAGCAGCTAATGCATTTGCGATTTCTGAAGAGTTATCAGTAAATCCCCCTGATATTTTATTAGGTGCATATGATTCAACAAGTTTCGATGTGTACATTAAACCTATGGCCATGTTGGGACCAGGGTATAAAAAGACTGCATTAATAGATTATGATGAAATGAGTCACATAGCCTACCTCAAATACCCTGGTAAACGTGACATGTTTAAATACTTTAAATTTGTTGATAAATACGTTAGTATGGTAATTATATTATTTATAATTACAATCTCGTTAATATTAACAAAAATTGATAATATCAAACTTAAATTTTCATCAACCTACTTTAACTATATTTTTAACTTGACAACAATAATATTTACGCCGTATATATCTAAAAATATTAAGTTCACTAAGAGAATACCATGTAAATTAATAATAAGTGCATGGCTATTATTTTCATTTTTATACAACAAGCAATTGTGTAACATGATATTAGAGGGAATGGTGACAAATGTACCTGATCATGTAATAGATACATGGGAAGACCTATATGAACACCGGGATGTACCTATTGTCGTTCAAGATTCAGATGGCCTGTATCAATTTGCACAAGATAACAAAACAGAAATGGCTATAAATTTTAATCAAAGAATTATCGACTTTGATTTTACTGACAAGA